GGTTCAACTCCCGACCCGAATCCTGCTCCTGCTGCCCTAAACGACCACGTCGCACGTCCTGTTTCCTTCACAGCCCAGAACAGCGCCGTCCGCCCCTTGCTATCCTTGGCATTCACATCAACCTTTTTTGCGAGCAGCCATCGAACCACCTCCATATTCTCCCCCTCTGCAGCCCGCGACAGCGCCGTCCGCCCGTTGTTATCCTTAATGTTTACATTAACATCCTCTCTTTTCAGCAGTTCTTCCACTATTACCAAGTCCCCCTTTTCTACGGCCCATAACAGCGCCGTCCGCCCGTCGTTGTCCGTAGAATCAACAATGGTACGGTTGTCTCTGAGCAGCAACTCCCCAACCGTTTCATCTGCCGGTTCAACTCTCGACCCGAATCCTGCTCCTGCTGCCCTAAACGGCCCCGTCGCACGTCTTCTTTCCTTCACAGCCCCGATCGCACGTCCTCTTTCCTTCACAGCCCAGAACAGCGCCGTCCGCCCCTTGCTATCCTTGACATTCACATCGACCTTTTTTGCGAGCAGCCATCGAACCACCTCCATATTCTCCCCCTCCGCAGCCCACGACAGCGCTGTCCGCCCGTTGCTGTCCCTAACATCAAGGTCTTTGCCATCGTCGAGTAGTTGCTGAAGACGGGTACAATCCCCATGTCTCGCTGCTTCAAATATAGTCCTCTCTGACATGTCGCTTTGGCTGAAGAATTTAGGTACAATCAGAGGCACTAGGATGAGTCCCCGCTCAAGGCTATGAGGGAATGAAAGGTACGGATATAATTTAACGGTAAAATTAAGTTGGACACGTCATCCTGTGGGTCTGAATCCAATGTCTAACCAATAAGCTCGCATCATGGCCACGTGACAAATCATGGTGGGGCCGAAAGGTGCTGTGTGGCTTCAAGACGGTAGTAGCGCCAACGTACCAGTATCTTTTGTATTATGCTCTCTCAAGGGACTGTAACGGTCTCAGGCAGTATATTGCAACTAGCTGATGACGACTCTACGAGTACACTGAACTTGGAGAAGAAAAGG